TATTTTTAAAAAGACCAAACTTAAAATTTGCCCTAAATAGTGGAGTATAGGTTAGGCTAGATTTGGGGCTCCAACACCAAGGTACGGGAGCATGGTCTCCAAATGGGAAATGCACCAAATGTGGGCGAAGGAACAGATAATGAAAATAAAGCCCAGAAAAGGCAAAAGAAAGGGTGATGTCTGCATCTGAGGGAGGACTTGATGGGGAGCGGTCTGTCCTGCACCACTGGGGTATGCCCTGGATCACCAGGTAGAGACCAACACAAAAGCAGCATATCTCAGCTCCCATAGCTAAGCTCAGCTCTGATACATTCTCCTCACTGTGTGCATGTGCTCTGCACACGTGCACATGCATGTGCATGCACACACACACATATACACACACAAAACAAACTCTTATACCCACTAGTAGTAACTCCCCCAGGTCCCACCTGTCTGGATCTTACAACATGATTTATGTGTGTGTATCTGACTGATGTCTCATTCACAGAGTTTATCTGTGTTGTAGTATGCACCATTCTTTTTAAAAATACTTCTTTTATTTTTATTTTATGTGTATGCATGTATGTATTACCTACATGTATGTAAGTTCACCCGTGTTGTGCATTGCCTTCAGAGGTCAGAAGAGGGTATCAGATCCCCTGGAACTAGATGGTGGGTGCTGGGAACCCAACTCTAACCCTAAGATGGCTCTTAACCACTGAGCCATTCCTCCAGCTCCAGTGTATCATTCTTTTTTACGATTGTCAGATTATTTGTCCATCCCTGAAGAACCACATCCTTTTCTTTGCTGGTTACCATTTTAAAAGTAAAGGAAGGAATAAATGGTAATGTCAGGAGTAAAAGATAAAATGCCAGAAAAGTATCTCCGTGCTTTTGTTGTTGTTGTTTGTTTTTTGATTGGTTGGTTTTGGTTTTTTGAGACAGGGTCTACCTGTAGCCACAACTGGCCTGAAACTCACTATGTAGACCAGGCTATTCTCAGTCTCACAGAGATCCACCTGCTTTTGACTCCCAAGTGCTGGGATTAAAGATGTACACCACCATGCCCAGCTGTTTTTAAAATCCATTTCAAACTCAGAAAAGCTATGGAAACAGTACAGAGAACTCCTGTGCTTAAGATTTTGTGGAGATACTTCAAGGCTAAGTACGTATTCCATAACTCAGCCAGCTCACCCTCCAGTCAGGGCACATTGATGTGGCTCAGTGATGTCTCTAAGTCAACTCTTCCTGCCACTGGAAATGAAGGTCTCGTCCCATTTAGTTGGTTTGTCACTGTGGGCAAATTCAAATCTGAGACTCTGTAATCTCTTTTATTATTTTGATCTTTAGATTATCCCACATTTGTCTGAAGCAAGTTTTCTCAAACTGCCTCTTGTGCTGCTGTGACATGTCTCATTTTTTTAGGCATGTGTTTTAAGAAGAAATGTTCTAGAGAAGAGTGGTATTAGAAACTAAGATGTATAGCCAGGAGTGCTGGGGTATAGCATACCTGTAATCCCAGATTCAGGAAGCTGAAGCAAGATCAGGCTAAGACCAGCCTGGCTGTACTGTAAGACCCTGACTCCGAAGGGAAAAAAGAAAATAAAGGGGCCAGTGAGATGGCTCAGCAGGCAGTGGTGCTTGCCACCAAGCCTGATGACCTGGGTTTAATCCCCTGGACCCACATGGTAGAAGGAGAGAACCAACTCTCACAAGTTATCCTCTGACCTCCACATGTGTGCTATGTCATGCACATACCTACATGCATGCACACACAAATAAATGTAATAAAAAAAATTTTAAGAAACCGAGCTGTAGCCAGGCGTGGTGGCGCACGCCTTTAATCCCAGCACTCAGGAGGCAGAGGCAGGCAGATCTCTGTGAGTTCAACGCCAGCCTGGTCTACATAGTGAGTTCCAGGACAGCTGGGGCTACAGGGAGACCCTGTCTCAAAAAGACCCCCCCCCAAAAAAAACATGCTATGTACTGGATCTCCTGTTGCTTTTAGGATGTCATTGTGCCTGAGACCTCTCAAGTTACGCACCTGTGCACTGCTCACATACCTACATTTGTCTCTATATCTATCTGTCTGTGGAGGTAGAGACCAGAAATGTCCCTTCTTAGCTACAGTCTAGTCCAGCCATCTAGTCTCCTTCCTCCCTGTCTCCTTTCCCAAGGAGAGAAACTTGACCCCTCTCCCAGCTAGCATTGCCTGGCCACCACCACTGCCCCTTCCTGATATCCCTTCTTGCTGAGTGGACATTCATCATATATAATGTTAACATTGATGATTAAAAATTGAAATAAAGAGCCGGGTGTGGTGGCACATGCCTTTAGACCCAGCACTCAGGAGGCAGATTTGTGTGAGATCGAAGCCAACCTAGTCTACATATTGAATGCCAGGCCAGCTGGGGCTACAGGGAGAATCTGTCTCAAAAAGACCAAAAAAAAAAAAATTGTAATAAAGCTATATGAAATCTATTTGTCCAAAACAAATAGGTTAGTATGCTTGATGTTGATATCTTAATTCAGAGTTACTCTAGATGAAATGGTGATAGGTCACATGAGTTGCTGGGCTGCCTCTCAAAGGCTGTAACTTCAGCAGATTGTGCTTTGTGAGGAAAGGAGTGTATGCTTCTATTACACATATACCTCTGCATGTTGTCTCCTCTATTTCAGGGTACCATCAAAATCAATACTTTTAACTGGTCCAAGGTTCGTAAACTAAGCTTCAAAAGGAAAAGGTTTCTTATCAAACTCCACCCAGAGGTCCATGTAAGTATTATTTTAGAACTTTAACAAAATTGTTAAGGAATTTATTCTGCTAGAATATTAAAAGGTTTTTAAACAATCTGTTTGGTATAAAACCAGGTATGGGGCCGTACACCTGTAACCTCAGCACTCTGGAAGTGAAGGCAAGAAGATCAAAAGTTCAAGGTTATCCTTGGAGGCCAGCCTGGGCTAGAGATCCTGTCTCCTAAAACCCAACAAAATAAAACAAAACAAAAAATGATTTTACTTTGTAAAAATCATCTCAGAATCACGTAATAATTTAAGGATAGGATTTAGAATTAGAGTCAGAAAGGTGACGAGGCAGTATGCCCAGGAGGTCTCACTTTCCCTCTGGGAAGCTTGGGTCAGTTTCCAACCTTAGGGTTTGCAGTTCAGCAGGCCTAAGCTAGATCTGGGACAATTTGACCCTCTCCTAGGGCTCCTGAGAACATTGGCTGTCAAAGCCACCCTGAGGCAGTGTTGAGAGTAATTGAACCCTGCAGCAACATAGTGAGGACTTCTACCCAGACATAGCTGAAGGGCCTCTCCAGTCTTCTCTTATACTTTGAATTTAAAAAATTGACCTCTGTCTAGCTCTGATTGAAGAATCCTTGATTATTAGGAAATAATTAAGAACTCCTTCTAACCCCAACCCTCAGGAGGCTAGGGAAGGAAGGTTATGGAAGATTGAGACCAGTTTAGCAGGGTACATAGCAAGGTCCTCTCTCAAAAAAAGAGAAAAGAAGGAAAGAAAAAGGAAAAGAACCTCTTTCTTTAGAGATTGTAGTCAACAACAGCCAACAAAGCAGAGAAGTGACTACCAATTCATTGAATAATTAGAAATGGAAAAGGTAAAATTATACACTTTGATCATTGGGAAAATTCAGTACTTCAGACTGTTAAAAAATGTTCAAATTGTTGTATTTCCTTTGCTCAAAGGCAGCAGATCAGCTGAGCCACCATAATCCTTCTGATGTCTTCTAGGTAGGTTTAGGGATGCTTGCTGTCACAGTAGAGTTTAAACCCTTGGACCAACCAGAAGTGGCTTTTGTCAGATTCCAGGTTCATGTGCAGTATGTGGGTGTGTTGACTTTCCATAGAAGCTTGAAAATATGTGCTTCTGTTATCTGTTTTTGTGTACATCTGTGTCTGTGTGTATGTGTATATGTATGTGTTTGCTTGCTTGGTGGTTGTTTTTTCCATGAGACATATATTTATTTGTTCTACTCAAGTTTTAAAGTTTGATAAAAATGCATTATTATTAGCAAAATCCCTCAGACAGTAACAGTTAAGATATAGAACAACCAAGATTTTATTCCACAATTTCTTGGACTTGTGAATCTGGGTTCTAGAGATAATACTAAGCTAATGGGGCACATCATGCTGCCTATGGCTGTGTTGAGGCTTTTACTGATGCAATCTTTTTCAATGAAAACAACAAAGAAAAGACTAAAAATCACACTTTGTTATTTATACAATGTCAAAAAAAATGACAGGCAAGGGATCAGGGGAGAGAAATATTTATTTGCTTTAATTAAAAAAAAATAGCATGCCAGGCATGGTACTGCACACCTTTAGTTCCAGCACTTGGGTCTCTGTGAGTTCAAAGCCATCCTGGTCTACATAGTGAGTTCCAGTTGAGCAGGGGCTACAGGAAGACCCTGTTTCAAAAAGACCACAAAAAAAAGCAATGAAAAATAGAGGCTTGAAAATTTTGTCATATTAGGATTGCCTGAAGGTAGTGATCACAGCATAAAAGTCAGCACGTTTGTTTGTTTATGTGTGTCTTTTTGAGACAGGGTCTCCCTGTAGCCCCAGCTGTCCTGGAACTCACTATGTAGACCAGGCTGGCCTTAACTCACAGAGATCCACCTGCCTCTGCCTCTCAAGTGCTGGGATTAAAGGCGTGTACCACCACGCCTGGCCAAAAATCAGAATATTTATAGACAGAGCACAAAGTTTTATTGAACATATGAGCTCTGGGATGTCTGGGAGATCTCTCAGTCTGTATTCAAACTGCCAGGCACACATCTGCTGACTATTGTTGAATACTATGCTGTACTAAAATTAGGATTAAAATGGTGCTTAAATTGTTACCTGAGTCGGGCCAGGTGTGGTGGCACATGCCTTTAATCCCAGCACTCAGGAGGCAGAGGCAGGTGGATCTCTGTGAGTTTGAGGCCAGCCTGGTCTCCATAGTGAATCCAGGCCAGCTGGGGCTACAGGGAGACCCTGTCTCAAAAAGACCAAAAAAAAAAAAAAATTGTTACCTGAGTCATTATGAACTAGAGCAAAGCACATCAGTCTTGAGTTACAAGAAACAAGAGACTAGGGCTGGAGAGATGGCTCAGTGGTTGGGAACACTGGTTATTCTTGCAGAAGACCCAGATTCAAATCCCAGCACCCACA